GAAAATACACCATCAATAATGTCTCTGTAAATTGCAAGTATATCTTTCAGTCACATAAATTGCATGTCAGCCTTTAAAAACAGCTAAAACGGATCACAGCTTAAAGTACCAGGTGCTGAGATATATATGTTTAAATCACATATCAGAGCTCTACCTTTGATCACGATCACAAAGGGAACAGGTGAATCCATCATGTACCTCAAGTAGCTAACCAAGAAAATACATTGTCTGCTCTTGGTTATTAAATGGTGTTAGTTATTAAGTGTCAGCAAAGCTGTATAACTTCTCTTTTTCCCTAACAAAGCAAAAGGGAATAAGAGAGGAAAGATGCAAAAAATAAGTTTAACTTTAGAAGAACAGACAGCAACTTCCCCAAGATCCAAATATACACTTGGAATATATGTTGCTTTGTGATGCAATTGTAAGAAAAAAATTATATACTGGATAACAAAGCAATGTCACTACTGTAATCAGCAACTATTCTCAAATCAAGTGGAAATAGTAATTATTTTACTGGAATGCAAACAAAAAAGGCAATGCAGTTTCCCATCTCTGAAAAATTAACACAACTATGGAATATTCCACGTTACCCTTAATAATCTGTGAAATAAAACCTGCATACTTTGGCTCCACCAGGAAGGTCCTATCATTTGCACTGGCAGAAGGAGAGAAAAACATCACATCTATCAGGCATGACAGCCAAAGGCCTTCAGTCACATCCACATACAATGCTTTGCATTACATATATCTCATGAATTAAAATAGATAACATTTCATCGTTAAGGTCATCAAATTAAAATAATTGAGGACAGAGCCCTCCAATCTTAACGGACAAATGCAGAGGGCTCCAAGCATCCTGGGTTACTCAGGTACCTCACACCCAGGGTATCTGTTTTCCTGCATGCCCTAGGCTCTATCCTTGGTCCAAGGCATCCCTAGGTGTCCTGTATGCAAAGAAAGCCTTGACATGGATATTCTTGTGCAGAGAGGAAGACGTAAGAGCCTGGTGTGTTATTTTATTCCCCCACTGGGAGGAAATGACAGAAACCATGTTTGGAAGAGAAGAGAAATGCACAGGAGGTGGGTGTAAGCTAAAAGGCATACAGAAGCTGAGCAAAATGCACCACGATCTGCAAATGTTCGCATGTGGTAAGAAAACCAGTGTGGGAACAGGAAGACAGTCCTCTAAACTTCAAAAGTTGTAGCACAGAGAGTTTGGGCACAACCCCATTCTGAATTACAAGGAGACGGGAGGAAACATGAAAACCACTAGTTCTGCAGCACTGTTTTCTAAAGACAGTACTCCTCTGAGCTATCAACTCCCTTTTGTTCATTTGTTTGTTAGATGGTTATTCACAGGAATGGCAGCTTTTATTTCAATAGTATAGATAAAAGTATTGCACTGAAACGTAAATGTCAAAGAATACATACTCAAATGTCAAATACCAACAGACAAATGCCAACAGAGAAATGTCAGAAATACACCCGTGCCTCCCGCTGAATATAACTATATCTGCACAAATGCAAGCCACAGCATGATGTGTAAAAGCAAGTTTTTCTGCAGTTCCTTTGGGATGGTAACAACACCGGTGTTAATAAAATCAGTATCTGGCAGTGATCTGACTGTATTACTCCAAGTACTTGAGTCTGGGAATGCATATAGCCTAAGCGATCTGTGGTCAGCAAGGTGACGGATGACATTTACAAACATAACGATACAAAATTTGTAATTCAGGCAAATCCCACCCCTGAATTTGCAAACTTGTCACTAGATGAAGGACCCCAAGACAATGAACTTCAACATGAATGTTCCCACTACTTTCCAGGTATGACAGCAGGCCATGAAAGTTGAAGAAGGGGACTTGCAGACAGTTTCTGCTAGTTACACGGCTTAATTTGGCCAATAAAAATAAACACAAACATTGTTAGTGTTTCCTAAACAGTGGTGGTTTGGGTTTTTTTTTTTTGATTTCTAGAAATATTAACCTATGAATATAAGTGAACTTTTCATAAGTAAAAAGATGACTCCAGGACCCAGACAGAACTGACTTCAAAGCTGAATTTGAACTCTTGAGAAATTGGAGTGCATTTTAAAATTTTACTTGATTTAATTAAAATCAATTGATTGTTCCTCAAGAAAATAAAAAAAGAATTCTTTACACACTTAGTGTGAACTTCTGGTCCCAGTGACTTCAGTGGGCCTTTTGTCATGATTTCACCCTTCATTATCTTATATAAAAGTACTTGGAAATATGTTAATTTGGGAAGATGCATTTGTTTAGAAATTTTAGCCAGTCTGCTAATTGCAACTGTTTCCACTAGAGTTGAGAAATAAAAGTGGTTAGGTAGTTCTGTAGTCAGACCATTAAATAAATGAAAATCTGAGGTGCACTTTAATTAGTGTAGCTAACAAAAATATATCTGACTCCTATAATTATTGCAATTTGCTTCCAACACCAGTGGCTCACACACTGTGAAGTAAAACCTAATCAAAGACAAAATATGTGAATTTCTGACAAAGGAGTAAAACCAACATGCAGCATTTTCCCCTTGAAAATTTTCTTTCTCTCTGATATAAATGTTTTAGGATCCCCAGCTTGGTGGTGTCTTTTTCTTTTTTTTTTTAAACTCTGGGATATTGATTATAAGTACTATAATTATTTCAAATAATCTTATTATTCAATTTCGTGTAAGAAAAAACAATATTTAATTGAATTTTTTTTTTTTTTTGAAAGATGCTTCTAGGAACATTTATCACATTCTCACAATATATATAAGTTTCTTTGTAAAGAAAATTCCTTTCTCTACAGCAGCAGTCTTTCTGAAGCTTTCTTTGGATCAATGAATGCTGTTTAGAAAAAAATTGGAACAGATCTTTTTAGCCAGCTGCAGTGCATCACAAAACTCTGAGGATAGACATTTATAGCGCAACCTGCAACAGGAAACTTTTCTTACAATCTTTATTATTTAATTTTAAACGCTTATCTTGGCAAACATAAAAAACCACCATACTTTCAGTACCTTTTAAACTTTGCTTTTCTCCTGAAGCGGGTCTCAGGACACTGAGTTTCAAGGTCTAATTATGTTTTGTGCAAACTTATTGTCTTTGAATAACTTCTAGTCTATTTCCTTTCAAAGACAGTGAATGTCTCTTTTTCCTCGAACTATGATAAAGGGTAAACAAGGAAGGTCTCCAGAAGCCTGTTTGTACTACCTCATTCTTTTGCACAATTTACACGATCATTAATCTCTTCTTTACAAGTAAACTGTACCATATTTTAAATTTGCACCATAAATCTAAATTACACCATTGGAGAAGAGTTAGAAAGGCTAGGAATCTGGTTTGCACTTCTATATTTCTGAGACTTTTGTGTGGGTCTCTCTCTCTTTCTGTTCTTTTTGTGAAATGGAAGAACACGCTTTAATGCTTCACTCAGGCATTCACCTAGAAAAGTCTGAAGTAAGACAACAGCTGAAGTCAACCAATTAACTTTATTTAAGAGATATAGATTTGTATTAGGAAGGATTACATGGCTGCTCTAAAGAATAAATAGTTCTTCAATGCATAGCATAGAAAATAAATCATGTCAAAATATGTTGAAACAGACTAAATTTATAGGTGAAGGAATAAGGACTCATCCAAAATTTTGGTCACCTGAAGACTTTGCAAAGCACACCTCCCAGTATCAGCAAGATCCAGTTCCGTGCAGTTTTCAAAACATTTGGCAGGATCTCTGCTCAAGGTGACATAGCTATAAGCACGAGTGTACATTAAGCTATTGACAAGAGATGTAACAGTAGTAATGGAATAACAATTCCAATGAACAGTAAAGGAGAAAATTCAGAAGTTTAGGAACACTTCTGACTTTTTATTTATCTCTCCCTTCCTTCAGAGCACTTATCTGCAACTGCAGAAGCTATGCAGACAAATTATGTACTTCATCATATAGTGACACTGACACATGAAACCAGTTTACATTTATTAAGATAACTTTATCTGTCATTTGCTTTCAGGCAATCACTTCAGTTTCCTCACACATAAAACACAGTGTGATCTCATACACTAAATGAAGACACCTTGGTATTATCTTTCAGGTCTGTCTTCAAAGGAGAGTTGCACCTGGAAAAGTGTATTAGTCTTACTTTCTTAAGAGGTACCATAGTATTTTTGCTACTTTTGCGATCCCAGATGAGCGGTTGTCCAAAAAAAAGTACATGCATTGCAAATAGAGACCTGCTTGCCCTATTGCTTACACAAGACTTAATTTTAGTTTTACAAACTAGCAAAATTGAGATACCAAGAAAAAATTAATTTTCCTGGAGACGTATGCCATTTCCTCAAACAATTTAAGTCCAAGTATTTGGATGGTGGCTGGCAGCCCAATACATACCATTACACATGTTCTGTAAAAGTTAATTTCTACTAAAACATTGTGTACTACTTTCACGAAGACAAGAGATTACGGAAATTTCATCCATGTTACAACAGATTTTCACTTTCTGTACCTATGAAATTAACCGCATAACAGTTTGAGCATCACACTTTGACCATAACTATCATCAATCTGGGTGCTATCAAGATAATTCAATGTAAAAATTGGTATTTTGGAAATGGATTGCAATGGTTAAAAAAACCAACCAAACAAACAGAAAACCCAAGCCAAACCAAACCCAACACACACACACACAAACAAACACCACCAAAAAAACCCAAACCAAAAAAACAGCATTCACTGGTCTTTCGGGACAGTTGACTGGCAGCTTAACACATTTTTTATTACAAACACCACCTTGGATCAACATGACCTACTGCAAAACTTCTTTTCAAAAAGTAGATGCATAACTACAAGGTCAAGACTTGTCTCTCCTTTCTTACTCCTCTTAACGAAACACAAGATCATGTTATCTGACGTCAAACACTTTCCTATTAACGTGGAACACAAGAAAGGTTTATTTAAAAATTGGTAAAAATAGCCATGTTTCAATATATGTAGCCTCACCTTGCGGATGCCTCTGCCAAGATCTTCTCCATAATTTGTCCCCAAAATTTCAAAATGCACATTTGGATTCCCCCCATTTTCTGCAAATTCCAGTTCTCCAGTCAAGCCATTCACTCCACCCTATCGGAAAAAAAGGAGAATGGAGTGAAAACTCAGAAGTGGCCAATTATAATAAACTTTTATTTCTCCAATGGATTTGTGGACTAACTATGAGGAACACATATACAACTACCAGAATAAGGACAGTTTTCCAAAGATCACATTTCCCAAAAAATTCTGAAACGAAAATTGTGCCTGAATCATTTAAGCACTTCACAGAAGAATCAGCTTCAGCAATGCTAAGCAGGTACATTAAGACTATTGCTTGTGTTGCATTTGCACTCCAATTTTTGTTCTTAGACCTATCAGCATACATGTATAGACACTCTAGACCCATAAAAAACCTAAACAAACAAAACCCAGCCAAACAAAAACAAACAAACAAAACACCCCCAAAACCACCCCAAACAACCTCTGTGACTAATTTTAGTGGAAGCAAACCTAAAGACAAATATATAAAGAATTAAGTTGTGGTGTGGCGCTTTTTTTTTTTTTTTCCTTCCCCCTCCTCCTCCCAAATGTTTCTCACCCAAATGAAATTTCCACATAAGATCAGGTTGAATTTTGGCTCAAGTTAAGTGTTTTTTGAGCGCAACATAAGGGATCTGCATACATGAAGAGGGGCTTATCCCCCTGAATAAAGTGATTTTTCTGTTTTCCTCCACAACTCTTCTCTACTACTAAGAATGCATAAGATGAGAAAGACTACAGCTTATTTCAATGTTGCTTTTAATTTTTTATATTTTAGTCAGAAGGGATTAAAATACTAAAGGTGAAGCAGTGAATATTTACTATAAAGAATCAGAGTTGAAAGGGCTATACATGCCACAGAAATACTCAAAATATATTCCAGGGTTAATTCAACATGACACACATTTCATCTTTGTCTAAGAACTGTGGTGACCTGAACTGTAAAATCAACAGAGCCACATGAAATACCTACAATGAAAAACTCTAGCCTTAAAAAATTTCTTCAGAGTCAGCAAATATTAGATGCTTAACCTACTTCCTCCAAAAAACTTGAATAATATTTGAAGTATGCCTGACAAAAAAATCTGCCTCTGGTGTAAGCACAGCTTTTCTTCAGAACACAAGGCAAGAGTTTTCAGGTTGTGATTGTTCTTTCAGTTAAGCTTTATTATTTGAGTGGAAATAAATGGAAAATAAACTCCTGTAAAATAAACGACCTAGCTAAGCAGAGAAGTCTTGCTGAATCATGATTTTAAAAGCTCTGTTCTCACATTTTTGGTTTGGAGAAAATCCAGGTAGGAGTATAATTCATCTCCATTGCAGATTAGTATGAACTAACAAAACATGTTCATTCCTTTATAAAACATTAATATGATTATAATAAAAATAAGTTAGTTAATCGTCGAGATAACTTTAAAATTTACTAGTCTAATATTGTCAGGGAATAATACATACATATTTAATGAAGTGTCACTTTTAGTTAAAAACAAAAGAACATTTTGGGTGTATATATTTTTTTTTAAGATTTTTTTATCGTATTTACTGTTTGGATGAGATACCACAATAAATATAAAACAGAAAATTAAAAATGAAAGGAAAACAAACATCCTGATTAAGGGTATATCTGCACAGACTTTTGCAGGAAGACTCCAGGTCATTTTTCCCCTCAGTGAGAGACAACCAGGTAATTTTGATGCATATATCTATGGTTAGCATGACACTGAGGTTACTATTTAGCTTGAGCAGAATCCTGTAATAATCACACCTTCATGCCTTTTAGATTGGGGTTAGCACACCTCTGGTTAGTTCAGAGTAAAAACAGGGTGAGCCTGTGTTTACCTGAAAATAACTGAGTTTCATAAATTTAAACTTTTTCTGTTAACTAAATTTGACTATATCCTATTCATGAACAATAAATAAAAACCTGAGCCACATACATTTTTTCCTAATACGGTCTCATCTGTATTTTTGATTATTTAAGCCAGAATTTCATGGTACATGGGTTGTAGAAATATGTGCAAAGCAGCACAGATTTGCAAGGCTTGGGATCCCCGTCTGACCCCTAGAAGCCTCCTTCTAGCTGACCTACCCTCCCTGACAATATACACCTGTTCCTAGTCCTGCACCACTCTGACCCTTTACCAGATACTGCTTTTATTACATTATACTTTGTATTTCCTATATTACTTTCTAAAGCTTTTTCCCCCTGCAATTTGAACCAAACCTGTGGGTCTGAGGCAGATGAAGTATGAAAATTAATTATGCTGTTATGGACCACATGAACTGCACCATGATTTCAAGTGAGGCACAAGCAAGGTCTGGAAAGAGGAATGAAAACCTCTGGAACAAAATTATAAAAGAAAGGAAATAGTCAACAAATAATTAAAATTTGTTAACACAGATGCTTTGTACAGCAGAAAATGCTTTCCTTCCTTCTTATTCTCTGACAAAGCAGTTTAGCATCAGGAACTTTCAGTATAGAAAATTAAAGTGACTTTATTTTCCAGACTGAGAGTGTTCCAAATGATTTATGGGGCATGAAGTTAGAATCATGTCTAAAACATAAATGACTTTTTGAGACTTGAGACAACAATGTAAAATTTTAGTCAACTTAAAAGAATTTTTTTTGTAATTTTTATCCATATTTGAGCAAATATGCTAAAAAAAAAAAAGAAGTATTTCACCTCAGTTACATCTGAAGTGATGAAATCCACTTTGTAAGAAAATGCAGGATTCTTTGGAAATACATGGCCCCTAACATACAGTATATGTTGAGAAACTTACCTACCATATTTCCGAATTGAATCTCTATCCAAAACCATTGTGTAAATTTATTTACCTTGATATTTAAATGGCTGCAACTGTTGGGGCAACATACAAATAGCAAGCCTGTTGGTTATTTTTGTTTGTTTTAAATCCAGTGGTAAACATAAATTTTTCATTAATTTATTTTTGCAATTTTATAATTCTTTGAAAATCTTTCATGTGAGAGTGTTTTTGATTAGAGCTTTCTTTCCTAGAATGCATACATCTACAAACAGTGTAATAAGAGTTCAGATTAAGTGGGAGTGGTCCTGGTTCGGAAAGGGCAGAGGCAGAAAGGCAAAAGAATTAAGAATCGCCCATATAATACCAACAACACCACTAAATCTGATAGGAAGCTGTGTGGAGGTCCTGATGCCTTCCTCTCTCCCTGCTTGTGACACACCCTGCTGGATCTGCAGGCAAGGCAATGCTGTTCTTGCTCTAGTCCTCACCGTTTCACACCACCTTTTTACAAGGCTTACACAAGCCTATTCTATTTCTTACAGCTGATGGAGTGGGACAGCGTATTGCCCAGGAAGAGTTTTAGGAGACTGCTCCAATTTTTCTGCATTGTCTTTCACAGCATGGATACGTCTAAAACACTAACTTGATTTATGACATGATTTTTATCCCTCTGCTAAAGCACAGTGGAAAGGGATCACAGAGGAAATGGCCATCTGTATGACAGCTACTGATCCAGTAACATCCTTATTAGATTTTTCCATGTTATTTGAAAATTCATTACGATAACGGATAAGAGTCAAAGAAACTTTTCATTCCACTTAAAGAAACAACGCTATTTGCAGAAAAATGAAGACGGATTTATTATCTACTCTCAAATTCCTCTAAGTCTGAGCAGCAGCCATGCAATTTCCTAACATATTTAAAACTGAAGAGTGTAATGTCAGTTGTTAGGACAAAAATGTTTTACTTACATTTCTGATCACTGCTCTGGGCTTTGCAGAGCTGTTGTAAAGCTTGGCAATATAGTCAAAACCTACTTGGGTCCTGTCTAGACTGGCAAGATAAACTACAGTTTATATATGCTTAGGCACTACTATACTGTAAGTCCCTGAAGAAAGCACTATTTACCCAGCAGTCAGGACCTTACATGGCAGTGTCAGCTTGCCAATCATCAGTTATAAAATATTGTACTTGCTTCTTACAGGTTCTGTTCATGCTCTCTTGCCCCCCCCCAATGTGATTATGTGAAGAGACTAGCCATTTTGCCAGTAAGGAAAAAATCTCTGGTTTCAGACAGTAAATAAAGAAATGCTATAAACATTAAATAAATGTTTCAGATTTTATTCTTAAAAAGACCTGATATTGTAAATATTGTTGAGCTTTCAGCTCAACACATCATTTTTAACTGCTACCAGACAGCCTAAGCTATCACCTGGAAAACAATTTGGCATTTTTTACACACCAACAATGAACATCACTGACATTTCTGAGACCAGAACTAGTTGACAATTCCACCCATGATTCCAAAAACAGCACAAGGTACAGCTCATTTTCCACAAAGGAATAGGCCCTATGTTGCTGCTAGCACTAAAAATTTGCTGTTTGTCAGTGAACTAAACAAATGTGACTGGGAAGAGATCAAGTAAGTGTGAAAGAAGATATATGCAGTAACTTGATGTCATTTTTCTGAGTTGATCCACCACATAATCTTACTTACATTTATTCTTAGACTATTTGGGAAGATTAATTTTTCAAACAGTAGAATTATTTTCTAGTAATACTTATTTCTCTCACTATGAAATAGCTTTACTGAGAAATAAACAAGTGAGCATGTGCTTGGGGACAGTTCCTATTACAGAAGTGAATTTAGAACTAATTGCTAGAGCTGGCCAAATTAATTAGAATTATATTTCTTGATGAATTTAACTATTCAATTCCAGAATGGGTAGAAAGACTTTTTAGACATTAATAATTGTAGTGGGCTTAAAACTTTTTTTTTCTTTTTAGGCTTTGTCCAATCAGCTGAATCCACACAGAAAACCCAGCTTTTGCAGCTGTTAGTAGAAATAGAGACACAGGAATAAAATAGTCAACAGTGAAAAGTAACAAAAGACAATAAGGAATGATTCAGACAGCTATACTGCCATTTCAATAAATATTTGAAGTTAATTCCCCCTCATTCCCTACTCTTTCCTATTAGTTCATAGTTTGTTTACTGCCAGAATTTTCCTATTATTAACAAGAGCCACTGCAGGTAGAACATCAGCATCATCCCTTTCTCTGACTTTCTTCAGTGTGCAGCTTATAGAGATTTCCCATCTCTTATTTTCCCCTTGAGAAATTAGAGACTCCCTCTGCAGATAAAACATCCAGACATTCCTGTTTCTGGATCTCTGATTCTAGAAGATAGATTTTCTTCTAGGAAAGCTTCCTCTGGAACTAGTTTTTCCTGCTTTTTTAGCAGCAAGAGATCAGTTGTACACAGCAGTAGATGGCAACATCACCTCTGCTTTGCTACTGCCAGAACAGCTATGTCAGTTTCTAGCCTTTTCTAAGATTTAATTTGGATTAAATCTTGTCTTTCAGTTTTAGCACGTTACTTAGAATTTCATCTCTGTCAGCACAATGCAGTATAAGGACTATTTGGATTACTTAATTTACAACAACAAAATAGCTTATCAGAAGCATCTAATTCAAATAGCAGAGAAACCCAAAAGCAACAGGACACAAGCCTTGTGACCTGCATATGTCAGGAATTTCCTTGGCATTTGATTCATTTTCTAGCAAGCTAACCACAACCCCTGGAATTTCCACTTGCTCCCCATCTTCTTGAATGCCTTCATATTTCTCCTGGTCATGTCTCTTCATGTTTCAGGGTTAAGAGCTACATAAATTGACCTTCAACACAGTGGAGATCATCTGTGAAAGGTCACAGAAGGAGTTTGTTCTATTAATCATATCACTTTAGAAGGTGATACTTGGAAGAAGACAAACTGGATAGCTAGGATGACGTGGCAAAGAATGGAATAAACTCCATTTGAGGTGCAAAGAGATGAGATGGTGGTAAGAAACAGCATAAATGATGTTTATGTAGGATCAGACTCACATCCACAAACACCACAAGCAAACAAATAATCGTAATGCTAAACAGTCAGCAGCTCTTTCCATGCTGGAATATGTCTGAATTTAGAGATGCTAGTAGGGCTACCAGACTTTGCCTGAAACTCCAGCTCAGAAAGTAAATTCTAATTCTAAAGAGGAAGTGGGTAGTTTGACTTTTCCAGCTCAGACACCCTATTCGGATTTGAGTAAGTAGAAAGAGCTTTTAGTTTATTAATGCAAAATTGTGCAATAATATTTCCAAAATGCAAATTGATAAGAAAAGTTCCAGAGCCAGCCTCGCCTGAAACATAGTTTAAGATACATGGAACTGCCAAATGTGAATTCCAAATTGCTCTGATAGGTTAAGAGCAATGCAGTTTAGAGTCCGTTAAAGCCATATCCTGCCCCCAGAATAAGAAATGTGTCTGGGATTATCCTTGCAGTCTCATACCTTCTAACTATTAGAATGGAAATTGGAGACAGCCACCAAAGAAAGCCTTGAACTGTTATTTGGAGCTAAGGCAGATTGACTCCGGACTGGGGAAAAATAAGAAGTGCTCAAAGGAGCCTTACACTTTACCTTTATCATCATAATTTCTGGTGTAGTTAAAGACCTAATGCAGAACAACAACTTCCTAAACCAACATTATATTTTAAATTATTTTAATGTGCTTTTAATGAAAGCCATAAATAAAAAACCTTTTTTTTTTAAGTTTTTTTTAAATTTATTTATTTACAATGCAGACACTGCCAGAACTTTAAATGTAAGTATGCATTACCAGGAAGTACATGCAGACAAATGAGAAGGCAGTTTTATGAAAGACATCAATAATATAGGGAGACTGAACCAAATAATTTACAGAAGAGGGTAAACTACCAACCTATGCTTATTTTGACTAAATCCTGACCCAGAAGACTATGATAATTTTCTCTAAGTATGTGGAGGCTGTAAACATCATGAAGAAAAGAAGTAACTAAGAAACTTATCTTCAAAGACTGAAGAACAGGAAAAGCATCTTGGACGTGAATGATTAAGGTGTGAAATAATAATCACAAATAAGTAGCGAGAGCTTAACATTGGATAAAGCACTGTAGAGACTGTTACAGGCAACAGTTCTGCAATGGCAGGATATAAACTATCTGAGTCAGTGTTTTCCTCACTTTCATTTCCATTATTTTACTATATTAATGTCAATAGCAATGCAACAGCAAGTTCCATAGAAAATTACCCAAGCGTAATTCTGCAAACTTTTTTCTTTTACAAATAAAATATTAAATTTATCTGCTTTACCTCCTAACCCATGGAACTTTTTCAACAGGATGAAATTTTCATACTTGAAAATTCTACTAGTTTGGTAGTTTTTGTAAACTAACTCACTGACTTCATTTCAAATATGTTTATTATGACATGGAAAAGAAACAAAAACTACTGAAGTCTATTTTCATTCAGAAACTCTAAATATATCAAAGCTATTGCTTTGAAAAGACACTTCTGGTAGTAGCAAGAATAACACACATCTCACAAGGAAATACTGCCTAGTGCAAGTATTCTAGAAATCAGAGAGAAGTACAGGGAAAAGGTACCTTCTTAATGGTTTCCAACATGGATCGTCCTCCTTGCCAGGGCTTAGAGTTCTTCCTGATGCAGGTGAGGCTGGCCATGCTGTGCCACTTCCTGTCCTCCAGCTTTTTATGAAAGGCGTTCGCCAACAGGAGGACAGTATCATATATATACAGGTTTGAAATCTGCAAAAGCATTAAAATGGGAGTATTAGCATTATTATCTGTGGCCTCCTGCCAGTAGCCAGAATTTATCATTTGTTTTGCCTCACCCATAATCTACTGGTAATTAAATTACTTACTTGGTATTAACAAGAATCTGTAAGAGTGAAAAAGTCATATCTTTGGCTCTGGTAGAAACTGCAGCTAGAGGCTGTCACGCTACAAGTTATTTGCAGCAACAGACTAAACAGATGTGAAGTAAAGGCAGCCCGATCACTGTCACAGCTCCACTTGCAGGATTTAAAACTCTACTCATGAAGGTAAACAGGCTTTCTTTTATGTTTAATCAGGTGCTTGCAACTATCAGTTTTGCAGACACTATATATTTGGACACCATCAAATTCTGTTCAAGATTGTTTTGTTCTTTTGAAAACCAGAAACTCTTGAAAATTTGAAATAAATGAAGCATAGTGTTTGTTCCTAATATTTGCAGTCAATTCTGATTGAGGCAATTTCTGGAATGAAATATGATCCGATGAAATCTTTCTCAGTGTGCAGTTGCATGTCAGTTCTGTAATTTATAGTGTTTTCTGTCAGAGTATTTGGCAGTGGTTGCTAATTTCCTGCCGTACAAAACTCTTATTGAATAAATGTATGTATGTTTCACTGTGAGCATATTTGCACACATACAGTGCAAGGAAGTTCCAGTTTGGCATCAAGGAGAACCTAAGAAATTACTTGTGTGTCAATTCCACTTACTATTTACTATTTCTATATATGTACTTTTAAATGCACACAGTACAAATTCAGGTGTGAAAGATAACGATTCAATGTAAAAGAACAGAAGCTCAGAATTCATGAATATTTCTGAAACTAGTAATTTACAACATAGCTTTATTTCAATCATTCTCTCCTCAGCTGGAAGGAACATTGAAATTACTAACAGTATCATAAAGAGAAACATCAGGTCTCCTAAACAGACCTTCTTGGGAAGAGAAATTATGTTCAGAAATGAGAAGGACCTTTGGGAATATTGTTTTTAGATAACCTATTGGTCATTTGAAGCCATGGATCCTGAAATTATTGATGGAAACTTATTTTTCTCAGCTGCACTATGAAGGGGGCTGTAAGAGCATTCTCCCTGCCTGCAAACAAATTCATCATCAACAATTTGCTAACTGAGGCAAGGTTGCTAGTATTTTTGCTCCATCAGTCACAAACAAGACATTTCCCAGATTTGTGGAGCATGCTGACTGCTCTGTGTAAGAGATGCCCCATACATATGGTCTGCTCAAAACCTTGAAAGGAGGAGAAAGATTAGAATAGGAAAGTATTCCAACTCTGTGAAGAATGTCCCTGTTCTGCCTCCTTGAAAATATCACATTTTATCCAAATTTTATTGAAGGACATCTAACAGTCAGCTTCTTTGCTTCCTCATAAATTCCCGGATCCTCCATTGCCTTTACAACTCTACATTGTTAGTACCACAAATGCACAGAACTTGTGATCCTTGTTTTCTTTTTTCTTTAAATCACAATGATCTTTCACTCCAACTTTCTGGAAGATGTTTCTGTGTTCTTATTCGAGCTTCTCACATGAGTCCAGTGGCTGTGAAAATTTCCATTGCAGTATTCACCCAGGAACTAATTTACTTTCCACAGATGCACTGGCCAGGCATGACAGGATTAAAAGCATGGGTTGAGGATCTGGGTTCAGATTCATCAAGTGTTTTTAAAATAAGCTGGATGATTTGTCTGTGTATTGTAAACCTACAAAGAATTCAAATCATTTCAGCTAAAACTGCATTTTCCCAAACTAGTCAGCACCACAAAGACTTTTGTTTGAGGGGGAGAGAAGGCATTATTACTATGCTGTGAGGCAAGTTTATTTTACATAAGCCTTCGCCAAAGGTAAAAAAAAGCCAACCCTCTAGAGAGCAGTGACAATAAGGTCACTAATGAGACAACACTGATACATGACGGGCTACAGGTGCTAAGTCATCATTTCCCAAACAAATTACATTGCTTTCAAGGTAGCTTCCATAACCCAATATCATGGGAACTGAAGACTGTTGTGACAGTTCATGAGGAAGGATGCACTCACTAATCTAGAGGAATATAGCTGGACCTTCATCAGGTATTAACAGGGCTCAGGAGTACAGATTTCAGCAATTATTAAGTACTGTTATTCCTTCACTAATGGTTCAGCTTAACATTTACAGCTGTCAATCACTGATAATGAAATTATAAAAACAATACGATTAATTTCTGTTTCTCAAAATCACCCTTCCCTGTCACTAACAGAAGTATGCTTCATTAGCAACTGTCCTGATGCACACAGTGGGGTTGCAATTTGAAGATACTTTACACTTTTATTAATTTCCCATGTAAATTTACTGAGACATTTAACATATTGCCTGGTATCCATTACTGATCCTTTATTTATTCCAAGGGTCTTGGACCAGTGGCTGTAGACTCACATTACCAAGCAGTAACTAACTGCAAAACCTCCTGTAATTCAAAATTCAGATGTAATTTTTTTGTTGTTGTTGTTCCAGAATGTAGAATAAAGGTATGTAGTGGTCAGATTAAGTTGTTGTTTTGACTAGGGCAATCCCAGAGATAAAATGAGAGATCTTCACCAAAATATTTCATAGTGCTTTAATAAAGCAGCTGAAAAAAATTACTTCCTCACACAGACTTCAGGGGAAATAGTTAAGAACAACAAAAAAAAAAAAAAGAAGGAAAAAAAAAATCAAGAAATGCATCCTTACAATTTCCAGATAAAATTTTTCTGATTAGTCACACTTCGAAGGAATAAAAAATAGCATTAGAAATTTCAATTTATAAACTGTTCCATTCCCCAGTTAATTTACAATATTGCAGAAGAGAACAAAGAAACGCTGAACAAACCCCACATTTACTTGAAGGTCTGTGCATCATATGAAGACACAGGGGAAACTGTAAGTTTTTCTTCCTTTCATTTTTTTGGTGTTGTCTCACTCAGCTACTAATGAAGTGCAGCCACCTCAGCAGAAGCATGAAAAAAAGCAACTCAGCTATGAAGAACAGTTAAATCAGTAAAGCTTCCATCATACCTTTGAACCAAAATGTTATGGAAGCTTTTAATAGGAATATTACAGCTCTTCAAGCTACAGGTTGATCAAGAAACATGGGTTAAAGCATAAGGTCCAATTTAACACATATAATGGAACTTGCCACTTTGTAGAAATTGAACTTTGATTTCTAGAACTTTTATCTTACTAGAGTCCATTCACCACTGAAGTGAAAATCAAATAAAAGTGAAGAGAAAAATAAATCAAAATGTGAGGCTTCCATTACATGATTTTTGGTTCCCACCTTGCTATAGTGCTCTTCGCAATCTCTAGTAGCTGCATGTAATCACACCCTCAGTTTTTATGCATTATCCATAGACTACCGATGTTCCTCTTAGGTCCATAAGTGCTACAACAGAATGGTGCAACCTAAATAATTTTCATGGTTCCTAAAATAGCCTCTAGAGATATCTCATGCATCTATTGACCTTACACAACTCTATTTTAAGAGCTCTAATAGGATCTCCGTATAGTGTGCTACAGCCAAAGTTTTTCATGTCATCAATAGTTGCTTACTGGCTGCTTTGTGAACAAGTAGTGAGGCAAAGACTCTTACAACTAACCTGAAACAATGCAAGACAAGCCACACTTCTTTTCCCCTTACATATTTTCATACTAAGCAAGGACACTCTTCAACACCTCCCTATTTCTCTCCCATTGTTTCATCTCACTTCTTTCTTTCAGCATCACAAGATGACTGCTCTTTGCTACTAAGTCACATATGCTCCTCCTGCACTACTGCCAATGCAGTTATCTTTCTACAATTTCATAAATGACCATAAAAAAAAATCCAAAAGTAAAGTCAACATCTTAAGCCAATTTCACATTTCTGATTTTTCATAGCTTTGTCATGATGAAGCCTAACCAGATATACAAGAGAGAGAGAGGACTTGCTCTTGAAAAACTATGTGTAGTCAGGAGGATAGTGACCATGATCCTGTTGCTAATTTTACATGGTAGGAAGGCTTTTAGAGTTTAACTGTGATTCATAATTAATGATTCTGAAAATAAGACCTCTTCAGAACATAAGTATAGATTTAGCAGCATACTCCAAAACACTTGAAACAGAAGATGTGGGTGCTCCCCAGGAAGACTTCCTCATTGACAACACATCTGGGGCTTAGAAAGCACAGCAACTCAGGTGACATTGTCTATGAGGAGGAAATCCTTGGTGAGATGACCAAAAAAACCCAAAAAATCTGGACAACAAAATAACTATCTCAATGCCCGGACATCTCTTTTGGACTGTTTTCTCAACTGGTGTGAAATGCGTGAGTTGTTCTCATCCATCAGTCACAATTAACCCCTGCCCAAGTATTTTCTTCTCATGTCATGAGCCATTAAACTACATGTCAGAGAGAACATGAAAAATAAACTTTAAATTACACTAAGTCTCTGGGGAAAAAAACCTTAAACTTATCTAGAAAGACAGTTCCCAGGTGGGAGTAGACTGGTATATGAACTACCTCCATGCTTTGGGAGAAAGGGTCCTTCGGATCACACAGTGATGAAGATATTCTGTGGTTGCCACGGAAACAGCGCTGACTTATGTTTTGGGGGACTGGAAATGTCTGTCGGATAATTGTTAACCTTCCAATTGACCTTCTCACCAGCTCCTGCACATCCACATCATTTATTTCCTGAAAGATAAGGCAAGGGAGAGAATACACATAGAAGTTAAAATACAGAAATGTTACCATCAGTTTATAAACAGTAAACAAACTGAGAGGACCGAGATGTGGTTGCTACACAGCTATTGTTCAGCTCTGCCACAGCCTCAGAAAGAACCTATGCATGCTCGTTAAAGCAACTGACATACCAACTTTACAATAATTGCAAAAGTTTAAATTGTACTGAGCCCAAACCTCACTGAACCTTTGTAAATGTAACTGGGCTTGGTTGTTTCATTTGGGGTTTTCTCCCTCTCCTTTTACCTTTGATCTTTTACTTAAAAGTATTTCACAGCATCCTTGGCAGATAATGTGTAAATCAGTAGGAAGTCATAGCATGATGCATTTCTAAGTGTAGCATTACTTAGGAGCTGTGAAGGTACAGACAATTATTCAGACCTTAGGTGTTAATTTCCTGGAAACAGAGTATCAAGAACACATAAACAATGCACAAGTTAGCAAATATCATTTACCAAAAGGGCAAAGAAAACACATTAGAGCATTCTCGGTGTGTATGTGCTTGTTTATAGCATGACCTAATTTAAAACAAACTTTTCACTCCATAGGCTACCTATTAAGACTTAGAGCTGAACATACAGCTCTATGGACACACACTTCAAAGAAAAAAAAACAACCACCAATATGTGAAATATGAATCTTAAAATATTAACTGTGAGGCAGGTTAGGGAAACCAGAAAAACAGTTCTTTACATAGCATAAATTCCTGCAGTTTGGAAACATGGTGTTTTACACCAGTGAACAATGAGGCCCGAGGGGAACATGGAGCGAGACGAGCATGGGCTCACAAGCAGCAGCAACTGACTCCAACCTTTACATAAGTACTTGAACTATAGTTAAATATGTGCTTCTTCTGACGACTCAAATAGGGTCAGCTAGTAGCTTTTAAGGCAATTCTGTGTCTGTATTCTTTTATAAAGCGTGAGAAATAATCTACCAAATTGTTCCATCTTTTCAACCAGAATCTTTTTCATCATACTGAACTGTTTGTCCATAATCTGTCTTAAATTCAAAGGTTGATGCCCCAAACTTTATAGACATTTCAGTGTGTGGGTACCCTCACAATAAGGGAGGTCCTGAAGGAGTGCCTATTAGCAGCCTGCCTTTAACATATGTCTGCATACAGCCACAGTTCATTGAATATTTCTGATTCTCATTTGTGTATTTATACCTTTTCATTTTTCTGAACAATACAACTCATCTGCACTGTTATATATGTAACTAGTGCCATAATCTTTTTTCTGCCTCTAGCTTCCTGATCTATACCCATAACCAAGAACTTAGGACACACCAGGAGATAGAGTTGAACTCAAATTACGGAATCTTTCATGCAAAAAGGAAGCAAAGCTTTTTTAAAAAGCAGCTCCTTACATGTTAAGAGAACTACACCAGTAATCTTGGCTTTTTCTTGGAGCTTCAGTTAACATACTTCAATTATTCTGAAGCAACTTCTTTGGACATACTGGCATCTGTTTAATTCCTTTACAGCTTGGAAGAAAAACACATGAGATGTAAATATTAACTTCTACTCTCTTGACTAGAATAAAAGTATCTTATTCTTCTTCACAAACTGTCATAGTTTACGAATTTATCTGTTATTAATATTCTTTATGAAACATAGATTTTTCTGCAAACAAAAATAACACATGGCATCAGCTATGTCCAGTGTAATATCTTGCATTTCTGGTCGATTAATCCTTAATGTACCATAGATAATGGTTTCGCTCAGCTTAAGATGCCGTCTTTTCATTTAGTCTGTATCATTTCACTAGCTGCAAGGTAAAAAAAAACCCAACACGCTGTTTAAGGAGAATGCATGCAATTTTATAAAGAATACTTTCAATATAATTGGAAAGGAGAGCTCAGGAAACTTATCTTGTTTTTAAAATATAGCCTTTCTCAGATTTAAAAAAAGTTTGCTTGGTTTCATTATAGGCTGTTCCCAAACTGTAACAGCAAGTTATTATACTTGTTCTTATAATGCAAAAACTGTTATCTGCATGGCCAAGTTAAACTGCTAAATAATACTTTAAAAGAGATTTTGACTTTCAACTGCTCAAGCATTTATCTTTTCTGCCTCAGAAGTGTATTTATTTTTTCCGTATTTAGCATTTTTGGTTACATTTTAATTAGAGTGTTCTCATTTTAACCTTTAGGTTATTACCTCATATTTTTATACATCACCTGGGAACTACTAACAGAATCCAAACACCAAAGAGATTTTTCTATGGTTTCCAAGGAGGTATATACATCAATAAATTAATGACAGCTATTATTTTAAATGCTGTGAATTTCACTGATTATATCCTAACTTCGGATTTTAGGTTAACAAAAACCAATACCATTGAAACCCAAATTCAACTTTAGTAATTTTTTTTTTTTTTAAATACTTGGCATTGGCTGAGTGACGAGCCTTTTATATAACTCTCCAGTATCATCTCTTATTCTTGAATTTTGGATCTGACTTAAGAAAACTATATAAAGCAACTATTGTATGAGAGGAAACAATTTTCATTTGCCCTTCAAAGGAGGATACAGTATAATGATATAAGGATGGCAGATGAACTGTTATACAAGCACCAAATGTCAAAAAAAATCACGAAGTTGGCCAAGTTGAACTGAGTTGACACCTGTATAAATTTAGGCTAGGTTATATGGCTGTATTTATTTATTTATTTGTAAATCAGAAGTTAAATTTATAATACTAAACCTTCTTTTTGTTGGTCTGAAATTGGAATAAAGGGAAGGCTGTCCTATTTCAAATGTTTCAAGGATAAAATCAAATACACATTTCATCTGAGTGGGCAAATAAATAAGGAAAGAAAAGCTATTTTAAATTAATAGCTCTTTGCATATGAATTAGGAAAAGAGAACTGAAGAGGATCACTTCGACATAGCAGGCAGAGACACCAGTGGGAAGCAAGACCGTATGCTTCCATGCTCCCCTAATAAGGGCCAAACAACAGCAGTAATACCTTTTCTTATGGAAACAACTTTGAGCCAAGGTAATGATTCCAGTATTTATCATATCCTGGACATGCCCTATTTTCCAGTGCATGCCATGTCTTCATCACATCCTTCACGACACTCAAAGAGGAGAGCATTTCTCCCTCCTCCAAAAGTCAGCAACACTGATCAGGGGACAAAGCAGGAACGGGTGACCACCGCATGCCCTCTTGAGGCCTCGGACTGCCACTGCCCATGACATAGCATACTTGTGCTCTGCCCTTCCTGAATTTCAGTCTGTCCCTTGGCTCTCACCTGTCTGAAAAAAAGAGCTGGCAGCTTGGTCGCTGACCTGCACCCAAGAGGGTGACATTTTGCACCTGACCTGCCATCACCATCAGAGAATGTATAGGTTCAAATGAATTTCTAATACTACTGTTAATCAATTATCCATATTAAAATGTAAAATTATGTGACCTCCTGGAACTAAGCTGTGGTTTTAGGACCTGATCTAGCTGCTTGAGCTTAAAACATTGGCATGCTCTACGCACTGCTTCACGGTGGATTGTACTGAGCTGAAACACAATGGAACAAGCTGAATGCATCAGTCAAGGACCAGCCCTCTCCTAGGAAAAACATGTGTTCATCTGAAAGCAAGCTTTGAATACAACCTTGTGGGTCCTCCAGTCCTCTGTTGTGCTGTCATGGGCAAACATTTTGGGTCTTTTTCAACGAACTATTCTTAAAAAGAGTGGTGGTTTTGGTGGTGGTGTGTGGTTTTTTTTTTTTAATTATTATTTTTTTTTCCCTTTCCCTGCTCAAAGAAGTTGTTTTTCCAGACTCTGATGCCTCCCGTAATTAGAAACCTTCAACTAACTTCCGCCCTCAGTTGATCCACAGGCAATTTGAACTCATTTGTAATTGTGCCAACCTTGTCCTCTAGCCCTTGACAATGATGCATTTATTCACACTCTGTATGTTTTTATAAACAGAGAACATATCCTCTTTCAGTCTTTGTTTTCATAGGCTAATCAAGCCTTTCAGTCTCTTCTCACACAAATCAGCTTTTCTGTGCACCCGTTCCATTCTAATTTTAATAGAGCTGGTCATAATTTTGCACATTATTGCACATGAAATCCAACCAATCCTTTCTACAGTAGCATTAATATTTTCACCTCCTACACAGTAACTGTAGGCAGTGGAAAGTGTTTTGGGTTGTCCCTGAGTAAACAATAGTAATAGAGAGGTGATGGCAGCCTTGGGCATAGTAAGATGACCCTGAATGTTTTAACAAAGGAAAATGACTGAGACACATATGGATTTAAAAATTTTAAAATTATATTTCTTCAATTTAAAAAGAGCAAAATACATAAAAGTGATGAAAAACATACTAACACCCCTTCTTCAGTTCCATTAAATAAAATCTAAGCTTATTGTACACTTGTGATTTAAGAGCCATAAAGAAATAAAATTTTACTGTCCTGAGCTTTTTGGGGTTATATTTACTATTGTGAAGAGGAAATGAAGAAAGCAGAGATACACAGACAGAGGAGGAAAGGGAGTGAGAAATCCATCCTCATATTTTGTTAAGGCATATTTTATCATGACTACTTGCAAATCTATAACTCCTACAAATTTTAAGTACAGAATGGCACCATCTGCTTTAAGGCCCTGAAGAAATAGGAACATTTATTTGGAGAGGGTTTCCTCAGCTGAATGCACTGATCAGAGAGATTGGTATTATTTGCAAAGAACTAACACGATGTATTATACTTCAGCAAATTATGAATCCTTTCATTTTATAGGAACAACACCCCTCCTCCTACTCATGCATTTCCATTACGATACACAGTCTTAAAGCAAATTTGCTGTATTACATAAAACAGCATCTAATGGAACAATAAAAATTAAAGAACTCTTTCCAGGCATTAGAGCATTCAAAGTGAGCAATTAAAATAGCAGGTGTTACCTCACGAAGCCCTAAGCAGATTCCTGATCAAAAACTG